GTAGGTACCGTATGTATCCGGAAGAAGAGAAGCAGAGAGAGAGAGAGAGAACTGCGGGCTCCTACCAAAAACTATCACTCGTATGAACGTGCGGCACTGCGGCATGTCGAGACACGTCACACGTCACACGAGACATGTTGGTAGGAAGGGGAGGAGGAGGAGTAGAAGAAGAGAAGAAAGAAGTGGGGAAAAAAACAGAAAACAAGAAACGAAGAAGAGAGGGGGGAGGAAAAGGAAAAGGAAGAGCAAAAAATCAAGGGGGGAAAAAAGGAAAAGTAACTCCCAGGCAGCCTCGACGTAGCCCGCCCAAATTGAAAAGATGAAAGCAGTTCAAATACAAACGGAATAAATGAAATAAGAGGAAAAAATGAAACAAAAGGAATACGAGGGATAAGAGGGATAAGAGAGATAAGAGAAAAAAAAGAAATAAAAGAAATAAAAAGATGGAATGAAATAAAACAAAAGAATGTCAACGACCGTGTGCAGTGTCCGAATCCTTATCCACACATGCAGACAGAGTCATAACGATAGCATAAAGCAAATTAAACGCGACTCTGATCAACAAGAATGCGAGTTTAAATCCCCAAATGACGATTCTGACAATGACACGGATAGGCCATGGGAGACCTGCTAGTTCTGATTTGGCCTCTGCAAAAGGATCATTCTTAGGAACGGGGCCAGGGCCAGGGAGGACCATTGGTTCGGGCTGCTTGGATTTCGACTTGGACCTGGGTTTGGCCTTTGATGCGGTATGTTTGACTTTGGACCAGAAGTGTGTGAGGTGCGCAGACGCAGAAGCAAACGGGCTGGACTTTGTCTCGGGTTCCTCAACCATCATGGGTGATGGTATTGGGGCGGTAAAGTCACGAAGAGAAGAGAACGGAGGAGAAGGAGGATAAGGATAAGGATGAGACGGGGATTGAGAATCAATGCTAGTCGCCGGAAGAGGAAGAGGGGAAGGGCAGAGACGGCGGCCTTCGACGAGCGCGACGGCGAAGATTGCAGTGACGACGACATCGACAATGTAGAGAGACGGGATATTGGCAAGCGCGACGGTATCGACGGTAAGCGTGTGGTTGCCAAAGTCGAGACTGGACAGCGTGAGCTGTCGGTCAGGAGAGAGGAGCCTGATGGTGCCGGTGCCAGCCACGTTGAAGCCAGCGTCGCCGTTGATAGTGTCAATGGGAAACGCAACGGGTAGGCCGCCATTCAGGGTAGGATGGACGAGCATGTAGCAGTTTGTGTCGGCGTCCCAGTAGAGACGGCAGCATTCCTTTTCGGCATTCTTGCTGAGTGCCAGACTGGCAATTCGGTGCGAGTTGTTTGACGAAAGGGAAGTAGGGTTCGGTGACGACACGGCCGAGGCGCGCCCGTCGATGGAGTCGAGAGCCATCATGGCGGCGAGTTTGGGGTATATGAGTGTGACAAGGCCGTCGTTGGGTGGGAGGCGCCGGGATGGGTGCTCCAGGTTCAGCATGCAGATGGGAACAGTGATGTTACGATGCGGGTGGCGCCGGCGAATAGTCACTTCGGAGAACAAGTTGGAGCCAGACTCACCATCGGGACAGGAGGAGCTGGGGTTGGAGAATGTTTGCAGGTCGTAGAATGCACGTCCTTCGGCAGATTCGAAGACCAAGGACTCATTGGGGTTCGAAGGAGGTGAACCAAGCGAAGGCTTTTTAGGCTTGACATCCCTGGGTGCAAAGTCAGCAATTTCAATATTACACCTGAATGTTTACGGTCTTGGAAAAAGAGATGGGAATCATTACCTTTTGAACTTGAGTGTGAATGAAGAGCCGTCGTCCTCTACGCCTTGTCCATTTGCTGCAGCCCACAAGGATAGGAGATCCTCCTGGCTTGATAGAGTCGGTTCTGGCATTGGCTCCTGAGAGTCAGATGAAGAAACAGCTGCTGCCGTGTGAGGAGTAAAAGTGTGAGAGGTAATTGTGTTTGACTGCGAGTAGAGGCTGGAACGATAATCCGCTCGACTTGTCTGCTGCCTTGGAATGCGAGCAGGGTCCATCTGCGAAGGAGCATATCGTTGTTGCGACAACGGCAGGTTCGAGTTGTATGTCGGAAACATTGATCGCATCGGGGGTGATTGGCTCGGAGACGATGACCTTTCTGTGTGAAGCTGTACTGACTCTGTCCCAAGTGCTTCTGCATTGTTGTTTATATTTTCTGGCGAGCCTGGCCTGCTCGACACAGGTGTACCACCTCGGACACGTTGGTCAACGATATGAGCCGATGGAGGAAGAGTGACGATGGGCCCATCCGGAGCATCTGTGACTTGAATGACAAGACTCTGCGCAGCCACTGACGGCTTGGTTCTATCTTGAAATGTCGATAGAGGTATTTCAGGCTGGGCCCGATGAACCCGAGCCGGCTTAGCAGTTGATTCATTCCTCCTGCTTCGAGGAAGTGGAAACATTTCCAAGGCCGGACTGAACACCATTCTTGCAGCGAGTCGTGTCTATGTACGCCTAAAGATGCGTGGTATGAAATCGGGCTCCCAAAAGTCCAACACTAGGTAGGAAGAAAGAAGAATATTCACAAAGTGGCTCTTTAGTTGCCTAATGTTTCGCTGGATCAACTTGCAACGCGGACTCTATGGAGCAAAATAAAACTTTCATGAAAATCCAAAAGAAGTCAGATGCAAAGCAGAATGCAAAACGAAATGCGTAGCCAGGTGCCATGAAAGCAATGCAGGGACAAGCTGGCTCCATATAATACCGCGCATGGGCGCCCTGGCCCCGTGTAGGGCCAAAATCTCAAACATAGCGTCTTATGGAAAAGTCAAAAAAAGAATGTTGCAGCTCTTAGTACACAAGTGAGGGGCTACCTGGATCCGTTTTGCCTAATTATGCCGTGGGTAAGGAAAAGAGATGGCAGTCTATGTTTAGACCTTGATTGATATGTGGTCGGAGAGGTTCAAGGATGCGCCCATGGCTTGCAGGATGTACCCAAATAAAGTGACCTTTCCCCTGTCCCTTGAAGCTGCCCTGCTCTCCCATTGGCTGTCCCGTACAATAACCGCCCGCCTAGTGACGATTCCCGCTACTTCGCGCAGCCTTAGGTTTCGCCAAACACAGAACACTGATAATCAAACACAGCATATCTAAGGAACATCGGCTTACCCAACAAAGCGCTATTGTAATGCCATCTCATTCAAACACATGTGTTGTATTCTGTATTGACTAGCTTGTTTCCGCTTCGTGCCGTCTGCGGGGTAACATTACCAATAACCTTGAAAATAACGGTCTGGTTTACTCATTACTCAGGTACTATAACCGGTATTTTATTTCACCAACTGATCACGATGACCAATTTATTATTTGCATACGAGCAGGTAGTAATATAATATTCAATAGGCTAATCGTACAGAAGAAGCATAAATTATAACTTGATAATCTCAAAGGTCTTCAAATAAGCGTAGTAACCCATAGCAATACAAAACAATACAGGGTTTGCCCGACTCAGTACGTGTCGTTTGGCATACCCTCATCATCACCAGGCTCACGGTAGGTGCCTCGAGGACGAGCACCACGGGTGCGCTCGCCAATTATGTTGGAATCATCGATGACTTCACGCTCATCTTGGGCTGAAGAATAACCATGTATTAGCCAAAACCACGCGAGAGCGCGAACGAAATAACCACTACTATATATACTCACCGAGATATTCATCCGAGTCTGCTTTGACAGGGTCAATGGGATCCTCGACAGGCATCTCATCCTTTTGGACGGGAATATGGCGCTGGCCAGTGCGACTGATATAGCTATTCTCCTTGGAGTCGCCGGCAGGAACGTCACCTCCGACAAAGTCGTTCTGCTGTTCGTACTGATCGTCGGCTGAAGACATGATGATTTGTATGAATGAGAGAGTTTCAGATTAATCTTTCTGTTGTGTGGAGGCGTTTCGGAGAGAATGTAAGTGACTTTGTAAGAAAATATCGAGTGGTGAATATCAGTCTCAATGTTCGACATTGTGAGTTTATATACACAGATCAATACTGGAAATAATATTTAATATCTTTAGGAAGATGATTAGGATGTCGTCAGATCACGCGAGGGATATGAATGTATTGCCTCATGGATATCGACTGTTGATGTCACTAAAGCATGGACACTTTAATGCATCCGGCAGGTAGAACTACCATGCAGGCGAGATGCTAATTGACTTAACCTTTCGTATCTGCTTACCTAGGTAGAATGGGAAGCAAGTTGCATATACGAAATACAAGAGCAAAAGATGGACATAGTAGGTCATCTTCGCCATATGCTGGATGAAATCCCATCTCCAATTCTCATTAGACTCGCTTTAGGCCTTGGCTGCAAGGGGAAATGACGATTGCAATTGTAGCGACAAGCGGGACGGTAAGATGAACGGGCCGTAGTATATTGCATAGAACTGAGGTAATCTGTCATGACCACTATATTATCATTCATTCAGCAGGGCAAAGGCAGTGAGGATAAGGCTTCGACCGGTCTTGATCTTCGATTCTTGGATCTGGGTTGAAACTGGGGTAAGATCGCGTCGTCACGGATAGCTTTGATCGAAGAGTTAGCGCCGATCTATGACCTCAGCTTAACCAGCCAAGTTCTGCTTCCAGCTCAGGTCCCGAATTTCTAGAGCTTTTAGCATCAGATTTAGCGCCAGAGCTTGACGAGTGGAGGACGTCAACACTCAATTGTAAGGAGGAAATCAGACAGTAGTAAATAGCGTTTTGACTCTTCTCTTTCTCGTCATCTGTGAAACCGCAGTTTCCATTCCAGTGCCTGTCATCAGTAAACAACTGAAACGAATCAGCTTCACCCATTCGAATTAGAAGTAAAATAAATGCAGGTCTCTCAATTGGTGGCTATTGTAACATAAACTGAATTGTCAACTATCTATGTCGTGAAAGAATATCCATATAAAAGTACCGCTGGACGCTGTCACTAAATCATCTTTCGGCAATCATGGGCATCGACAATGACTAGCCAAAAGCTGTGTGTAATCAAACTCTGTACTCTGCGTCTGACATCAACCTTTCAGCTTCGTTTCCACAGTCCATGCAATAATCCAATCCCTCATTAGGGTAAACGTGGCCATTTGCACATTGCTTCAAAGGTTGATCGTCGCACGCCATCCATCGCCTCCAATAATTGTCCAGCCCATATTCATAAAAGGGCATTTCAATTAGATTTTCCGCTTGAAGAGCCTGTTCCACATGATTGAAAGCCTTCCCGAGCGTTGAGGAGATCCGAGGTAGATCATTGCAAGCGGCCCTGGCTTTGTCCATATCGCGCTCAATTTCGTCCTCATCTTGAACGTCCAATGCCTTTGAGATGAGATGAAATTCAATCTTCGTCAATCTCATGCAGACTTTTAAGAATTGCAAACTGTGCGCTTCACAATAGCTGATTGACTTTTCCATGCTCTCAATGTTCGATTGCGCCCGTTCTCCGATCATTACGTGAAGGGCTTCTGCAATTGCCGGGAGTCTCTCAGATGCATCCGGTACCTGTTTCAGATGGCTCGCGGTCTTCATTGCTTCACGCAGGGTAGCAAGACGACAGCGGTGAAAAAGATAATCTAACTGTGCGCTAAACGCCCATTTTGGATTATTTTCTCGCGGCTGAAATTCCGATGCAACCTGGTTGTCATAATTCCGTTCAAATGAGACAGCAATTTCACCTGATTAAGGGTCAGAGAAGTTTGCCTCGGATGAAAAAAAAAAAAAAAAAAAAAAAGAAAAAAAAAAGCTTACCTTTGAAGGAATCAATCTGGGCTTGGACGCCGTTCATCCAGTTTCCGCGTTCGTGAACCAAACTCTGGTTCGTCTCCGCGGAAAGAGGGCCTGGCTTCACGTTGTCGCAAAATTTCTCGAATTGGTTTGCGAGCAATTCTGAATCCCTTTCCGAGGATGCCGCTAGAGTCGCGATACGCTTCCCGATCGCTTTGATGGATTTGAAATCTTCGCCAAGGCACGGCCCCGATATTTTGGGGGGTTTGATAGTCGATGGGAGGCAGTGATCGCATCGTGGACAAGCCCCTGCGTGGCACCTATAAATTGTAGTCAGCTACCTTCAATGACACAGATATTGACAAGGCGTCCCAAAATCCTTACTTGGCAGGGCATATATGTCCGCATTCGAGCCTCCTTTTGCAGAGCGTTCGACAAGGTGGATGGGCCGGAAGTGCAGCACATTCAGAGCAAGCTGATTTGCATATGTGCCCGCATCGGAGGAATGCCCCGCACTGCTCCGTACAGCGGCGAGGCTCATCACGGTTTGAACAGGTAATCCTGAGCATATGCCCACAAGAAAGCAATTCCCTCTTTTTAACGTGGCCACAGCGGATTTCCGATAACCTGCTTTGTTCTTGGCAAGGTAAAAGAGTTGAGTGACCGCATGAAAGCACGAATCGCCGGGAAAGATTGCAGTCGCTGCAGGGGTCCCCACAGGCGTTCTGGCATTTGTGCCCGCATTTGTGCACGCGTCTGCAATCCTCTAGACATTTCATTCGACTGTGCAACTCAGGATCATGGCATCTGTAATCGATGAGCAAATATCGAGAGTACTCTTTTCTTTTGACTTACTTTTCTTTGCAAAAGTGCCCACAAGAAAGCAACTTTCCGCATAATAGAGGACACTGTCCCACCTTTTCCCAGTCCGACGGTATAAAAGCACGGCCAACACCATGCGGATGACGAGAACAACTCAGGAGAAATCGTGGTCCTAACAACTGCTTTGATCTGAAAACATTACTTGAAGGAGTCAGCCATACTTGTGTCTCGCCACGATGTCGTCGTGCAAACCTACATTATTTTACTCCACATTGGGACGTTTCTAACAACATCTGCATTCCCGATTACATAGAATCCGTCTCGCGCGCGGCTAAGCCCAGAAGTTAGAGATAACAAACTCAAATGATAGTCCTTTATGCTAACCTGCACGCAACATTGATGCGATTTTCAGTCTTGAGAAACCCAACATTCTTTTCGGCATTGCTTCTCACGGCGCTAAAAATGATTATTTTGGCTTCTTCACCTTGAAAATTATCTCTGAAAAGGATGATTAGCATGTGGTCACCAGTGTTACAATGAGAAAGTTGCTTACATTGTAGCAACACGCAGCATGTCAAGTACACCAACATGTGTCTTGTATCCAGCTGGAGCATTCTCTTCACTCAGAAGACCGGCGGCGATTAATTCTTCTCGATCAGACTCGCTTAGCCAAACGGAGCAATTAAGGCTCAAGAATCTTGTAAGTGCAGCCAGTTGTCCGTTGTATGGAGTCTTAGTACAAGTCAGGAATCTCATTGCATTTTTATTTGGTCGGGGTCCGCAGCGAACACTTACCAAAACAGCAATGTCGTTTAGCCCATACTCATTACCTGACACCAGATAATTGACAAGCCCTGCAACCATTTCAACCTCGAAAAGATTCGAAAAAGAACTCGTTGCTTTGGAAGCTCCATTTGGAGTATCTTCAGGCATGTGATGATTAAACCAGTACATCCTATGTACCATACCAGCAACTCGTTTGTGTGATTTTGTAGAATCATGATCCTAGATCGTTTAGAGACCGCTTGAATCACGTTGGGATTGTTACTCACTTTAAGGTACGGATATAGAGTCGCACGCGAAAGGTCGGCGATGTCCGGATGCATTCTCCGTTGCAAATTCAATTTGGAAACGGGAAATGGTTCCATCCATTCGTCTTTCGTCATTGCCAATCTTTCAAACAAAGACTCATCAAGCCTATAATGGCTGCCGATTGTCGTCTCAAGAGAAAGGTTTCGCTCACGCACGTGCGGCCTGACAACAAGTTAATTAAGAATCCAGGGAATTGCCAGGTGACCATACCTAAGCTGCAATGGGTCTCCAATAAAGATCGCATGTTCAACTGAAGGAAAGAGTGTGCACATTGTATGAGCTTCCATAACCTCACCAGCTTCTTCACAGATGACCACGCGGGCTTGAACTTTGTTTAACAAATCCCAGTACGCGGCGCAAGCCGTGGTAGTTAGGCCAATGACCTGCTCTACAGTGCTGTCAGCTGAAGGTCCTTGATCAATTAAAGGCGTCAACTTACGGTTTTGGAGGCATCTAGAATCCCTGTCGTCCCTGCCCTTTAACCAATTTTTGTCGGCATTGAAATGACGGCACTGTAACTCCACTAGTTGATCAACGAGAAGACGGTCTCCTAACTCGTTCTTCCATCGATCTAACAAATCGTGGCGCTCAGTCAGCGACATTGACCATATGTTGACGCCATGCGCAGTTAGGTCGTGAGATTGTCGGCATCGAGTAGTAATCTTGTCGAACAGCGCTTGGATTATGCCTGGAGCAGCTGATGAGTTATTTTCGAAGAAGGGATCGACACCCAGATATGTTCCAAATTCTTCCGACAAAGTCGGCAATGAGACGATGTCCGCGCCCTGAGACCAACAGTGATAGATAAATCCAATGGCTTTTCGAGCCAGTCGCCGGTTTGGTGAGCCGTCATCGGCCGATTCCATGGATGAAAACTGGTCGTAGATTGAGGGATAATGGGAAGCCAGGTGTTCCTTGACAACGTGCCAGTCCAGCCTTTCGCCATTAATAGCCGCACACCACTTGGTGCCCTGACTGAAAAGTGCTGTGGAAGGGTCAGCTGCAAGAAATATCTTTCGTAAAACCTTCCTTACCTTCTCGACGCGCCCTGTGCGTGTAGGTTTCGTGCCGATCCTTTCTCGACACTTTCATTTTGCGACTTAGCTCCTTTAAAAGATGTGGCTTTGTCCATTCCTTTTTACTACCCCCACCAAGCCGCGCAATGCTTGTAATGCCTTCGTTTTTCAAATCTTCTAAGAAGCTGTCCAACGCATGATTGGTCATGCACACGGCGATAATGGGTCTCTGGGAGTCCTCTGGTTGAGAAGCTAAAATAGCTTTCACAAGCGCAACCCCCAAATAAGTCTTCCCCGTACCGGGAGGACCTTGGGTGAAAGCTAATTCCCGAGTTAAACATTCAATAAGTGCCACGCTCTGTCCTTCATCAAGGGTTGTTTCCTTTCCCAACCGGTTCATAAACTTTGTACGTTGGTCTTCATCTGCTACATCTTCGAGAGACATACGAAGTTCACAAGTCAAAGTCCTTCTTTCCGGGCGCCGTAGATTCGAAAGATTAAATGAAAAACCAGGTTGTCGCGCATAGGCTGGAGGCTGGATATTGAATGATGTAGCTTGGTAAAACGAAGGTGCTATCAATGGCGCAAAAGGCAGCTTATTTCCATTGTACAGGTTCTGAAGTCGCTTCAAACAAGAAGAAAAACTCGCAAGTAGTACATTCGGAAATTCTACCAAAACAAACTCGCCACGACAGATCGAAGTTTTGTAGAGCAATATTCGTGTAAAGTCATTTCGTTCGTCTTTCTGGGCAAATGAGAGCTGAACGGATGCTGCAATATTAATTAGCTCATATTACAAGCAATACCAAGCACAGAAGCCTTACCTCGAATGCCTTTGCCGCCACGGGATAGCATAGCCTCCGTACTCTGCCGAAGATGCACTTCAAAAAATGTGACTGAGAGACTGCGATGGTCGGCATCTAGCCCTACAAGAGCTACCAGCATCCCCCTTTCCAAGAATCCCGACTTGCTCATATTCCCATGTCCTCGAAAGGAAGGAGGACACCAATAGCTCACACGAACGATGAGCCCACAACGCTCATCGAAGCTAAAGTCCTCAAACTTGACGTCCCTAAAGAGTGAAAATCTGCTCCCTCGTGGCGTCTCTTGCCTGATTAGCCCGTTGTCAATGGCTGGGCTTCCATCAGGACGCTCAAACAGCATCTGGCCGGCTCGATAAGACACATCGGCCAGCATCTCGGTGCTCTCGTATCTGAGCATCCGGAACAAGGCGTCGACGAGCTTCGGCTGGCCATCCCCCTCGACGTGAGAGATCTGATGACTCTTCGATGGTACAAAAGGTGGCCTTCCAGAGAGAATCTCGTCCGTAGTGGGGAGTATTCGAATATCCTGGATATTGATGTGATCGTTATTGTGACGAGCTCCAGAGAGGGATAGGAAGCCGGGACCATCAGAGTCGAACGGTGGATCCAGCTGAGTACGTGGACGATTGGAAATAAAATTTGGGGCTGAGTCGACGCTCACCCTAGCCAAGGACAAGGAAAGGGAGAGGTCAGTTTCCACAACCCGACAAAGATCATGGCTGTCTGTGCAGCTGTTCCCGTTAGAGCAGTACCCTTGAAGGTACTGGCTGCATAACGACGCTCGCTGACGCTCCTGCAAGACAGGTGGTGGAAGCTGGTGAGCTCCAAACTGCACCATGATTGCAGACCTTGATGATCCGCAGGTGCAGATGGAGGTGAGCTGGCAAACCTTAGAAGAAATGCAGAAGCAAGTAGTAGACAGCTGAAATGCACAACGAAGCCACAATATATGGCGGAACGATTGATGTGACGGTGAGAATAAAATGATCGAAGTAAGTGGATCTGTTATAACTGAAGAAGAGAGAAAGAGGAGAAGAAAGTTGGAGAGAATTACTCGGTTATTTCAAGAGAGCCGGTGTCTAGTCAACCGCTATTCCATGACTTTGTTTGGTTTGTTTGCCGTTATATTGTTTTCAAATGGGAGGAGTGAAGCAGTGAAGCAGTGAAGCGAAGGCCATCGCCAAGCGCCTTCCTGGGTCGAACGGGAAAAGCCAGTTCTCTCTCCAAATATTCAATTATGGACTTTTACTCCGTGGAGCTGAATCTCCAAGAATCGAATGCCTAAATTCAGACCGTTCATAACTACAAGGAGAGAGGCCCACTAATTCCAACTGAAGGACTTTTGCCCGTTGTAGGCTATTTCTATGTAAGATCAGAATAAATTTGCCATTATAGCACCGTGGCAGCGAGCCCTCCAAGATTTCACCAAAGCATGTCCCGTTCACAGAGACAGTTTCTGAAGGAACAGAATGAGCGAGGGGATTGCAAGGAATGCTTCGAGAACGAACTGAGGAAGAAAAGCGTGTATTGTATGCAATAGTCTTAAAAGAGGGGTACGGCACATGCGGTTCGCTCTCGATAGAAGGGAGAAAATGTCTTGCTTTGAAAAGCCCTAATTGCACCAAAGTAATTCATTAGCTTCGCCATATTTGCAGGCCTAGCTATCGAGTAGCAAAGGTTTTTGAGAAGAAGCATGTATTCTGTAGAAGAGAAGGCAGCCTCGTTGGGAGGTCGGTATCGGTAAAAAACTAGTGTACATATCCACGTGGGATGTCACGTCAATTGCAACTTCTTGCTAGAAGCGCAGCTATAGAAGGAAGTCGTAACATGGAGTCGCATTTGTAACAGCCTGATTTACCACGTTAAATTCCATGCGCTTCAGATAGGCGATTTGTAGGCGACATATTAGCTCATACCTTCCAAGTGAGCAAGTTCCTTCGACTTAAACAGGCTCAGGCGGCTTTCCTTCGCGATCTCCGGGTCCTCGCGGGCGGGTTTTCCTCTTGATTTTCGGCAGGATCTTCGACTTCAACCGCTGAGTCTTTGGTCTTGGTTGATCTCCTGCCCCGACCGCCCTTTGTTGAAGCAGTATCCTTCTTGACAGGGGCTTTCACATCTTGGATGGCATCCTCCTCATCCTCAGCGTGCGCTTTGCGCGCTTTCCCTTTTCGTCCAGCAGAGCTCGCCTTCTTGGTTGGCGCTGATTCTCCTTCATCTTCGGTCTCATCGAGTTCCTCTTCGACCTTAGTCTTTCCTTGTTTCTTTGTAGCGGCCTTCTTCTTTTTTGGTTGCGCCTCCTCTTCTGCGTCATCCGATTTGCGGCCACGTTTTTTCTGCTGAGGCTCAGCTGCAGCTTCCTCATCGTCCTTCTAGAAGTCCGAAAATTGTCAACAATGGGAATGCAAGACTGAGGGATAATACTTGCCTCTTCTTTGCCAGCCTTCTTCCGGGGAGCAGGTTTCCGCATGCCGCGACTACCAGGGACATTGCACTCGGGATCCTGAAATACTTATTAATGGAGCTTGTCGATGATGTCTACATGATTGTTGACATACGCCTTTCCAATCCTCATTGTCGACATGGCCTTGTTCCACGGAACGTTTGACCTTGTCCTGCAAATCCTCAGGAATTTCGTCGAAACCATCCAATTGCTCGAAATCTCCTTCGATAGCATCGCTAACATTTTTTATTTGGCTAGGAGTGACACAGCCCCTGGAGAAGATTCAGCAAATTGCGCTTGAAAGAATACATAAAGTAGGTACTTACCAATGCTTCCACGCCCAGGTGCCCTTCTCCTGGATTGTAACCCAGGTACCAAAGCGAAGCTCATCTTTGTTGATTTTGATGCCATTGTCTTTGCATTCTTTGTTCTTGCAACCAGCTCTGCCGCTTTTGGACAGCTCTTGATTTTCTGTTAGCAACACGACAAAGAAGCCGGCAACCTCCAAACGTATGAAACAAAATTACGAAAAGTATGCTCAAGAGAGCAGCAGTGACATAATAAAATGCATGAATGCGAATAACGGAATATTAGAACCTACCGACACGGTAAGGCATTGCTAGCAGCCCAGTGCCTTGAAATGGGCAGGGATTTTGCAGATGTTCTTAGAACTGAGAGACATTAGCATTTGCTAGAAGCTCTGGCGAGGAACGTCAAAACAAAACGGGCGCGATGAGGTCATAAGCAGAAGTTTCTCCCCTTACCTCGTGATGCACCCTGTACTTGGTGCTAATTACTGGCAGCAGTTATTCTGGTTTGAAGTATTTTACAGGAAGATGGAGCTCTATTTAAGTCGAAGCTCCTGGCATTGAAATTACAGATGATGTGACCTCTGTCGTGGAATCAGTGTTGCTCGTTACCTAGCAGGCAGCACACGTGCCGAAATGCTCACGAGAATTGAGTTGACCCTGGGGACGAGGGACCCCTTTCGAACTTCGGCTAGACTTGGCGATTTCTCGATCGTGACGACCACCAAAAAATATCTTCGGCAAAACATTCCCTTTAAACCAAAGAAAAGCTGCAAGCTCCTCAAATATTTCGAGATTGGGCAGAATAAAGTAGAAGCTACAGCAGCCGGACTTCTCTACAAACTGCCATTAGGGTCCATTTTGCCAAATCCGATATTCATCTGCATTCGTATAATCCAATTGATTCTGCAATGCGGTAAAATTGAGTCTCGAACGACTTCCCCTGCGAGAATCGACGTGGCTGCGCCTACAGTCTCTTGATGCCACATCACGCTCGACCGGGCTCGATTTTGTATCGTGCTCTACAAGCTCACGGCGGCACTCGCAGCAATGGATTGATTTTGGTCGCGGATTTTCTCGTCCCCTCGTTATCGTCGCGCTGCTTGTCGAGCCAATTTCGGAGCTGGTCGTCCTCGCCAAGCAGTCGTTATGCCTCTACAATTTCTCCCTCCGTTCCATCGCCGGTAGGAACTGAGGCGTTCAATGTTATCCTTGGTGGGATCGTCGATCTTCATGGGAGTAAAGAAGGCAAGCGACTGTACGATATCTGGTGTCAGGAATCAGAAGGCACGATATCCAGGGCAAACAAACCTTCCAGGCGGTTAAGGGCTGAGACAGATGAGAAAAGTTGGAGTAATGATGAGAATCCTCTGTCTTCCGGCACTGTACCCTTGAGGCGGGGTCTCGAATCTTCCTCTGGAAATTCCAAGCAGAACATTCGAATCGGACCTCCTGGCAGTAATGTACGCCCGGCCGTTTCCCCTTGAAACAATTTTTCCTCTTTGATTCGTTGGCCGTGCTGACAGTAACCCAAGGCTCTGCGGCCTCCAGATGAGTCTCTTCATGATCCAGAAGCATGGGCCGCCCTTGTAGATCCCTTTCTCCCGCACACCCTGCGATCAAACTCCTCCCAAGAACAGCTTGCCGAGCAGGTCCCACAGGGTTCCCGACAGGCATTGGTCACGATTCTGTCTTTGGCTCGTCGGCAGTATGATATCGATATACTGGCACATATGGGCTGCAATCAAGGCCGTTGGCAAGCTGTTCTATGGATCATTACCAAATGGGTCAACCGGTCCGCTCCCGGGAAGGAACTCATTTCCAGGGAAATTCTGCGCAATGCCGCAACCTTGCCGCAAAATCAAGGCTTAAATGAATTGACTGCATCCCCTACATCAATGGAGGCTCGAAAGGTCACTGCGAGATCGCAGCTGCGGTCGTTTGACGGAATTACAGAACATGACCCAGCATATATAAAGGTTGGCAAGTCGAAAACATATCGCGATTTACTCGCGGAATTCTGGCAGAGCATAGGCCACTTTATAATCATTTCTGGAAACCAATCCGAGCAGGAAGCACAACGGATCCTCTCATTCGTTCGCCAGATTCTGGCCCATTTTCACCACGTTGGTGTCGTTTCAAATTCTATATACAGATATATACCCGAGGCAGAGCTGCCCGTATTGCACAAACCGCCGACATTGCACCTTCTCTCTTCCCGGATTTTGGCTTCGTTGTCGGATGCCTCTTGGAGAGCTCGAGAGGAAGAAGTCCTTGCAGAGGCCAAAACGGTTGGTGCAGAATCAAATTACAAAGGCTATCAACTACCGAGCGCAAGGTATAAGCTCAAAGTCAGAGAAATCGGGCCTGAAGTTTGGATGGAATTCGTGCTATGGTCCTGCGTAGAGGATCGTCTTATAGGGGCCAGTGCTTGGCTCTTGAAAAAGATGAGTGGATCAGAGGCCATTGGTGGGCGGGCCTGGGCTGTCGTCAATTGGGAGACGATTCAGCGATCCGTCAGAGATAAGACTGGACATGCCAAGATTGACTGGGCGCGAGTAGAGGCCGGCCGAGATATAGCAACTGGAAGCGTCGAAGCGTATAGTCGACTGCCTCCAGTTGTTGACATGGGCGAGCGCACGGTCAGCAGCGAGGTGGTCGAAGCTGTTATTGACGGCTTGGTAGAGACTGCCATGACTGATAACGGGACTAGCCCTGGTTCCATCACTGCGACAATCGAAAATATATCTCTCTTGCAGCATTTACTGGAGCGGGATGGGTTCGGCTTCAGCGTCGATTTATGGCACATGGCTCTTCTCCGGGTACTAGACACCGAAATGAAGCCATTCGATCTCAATATGCAACTTTTGGAGTCTATTATTTCCTTGGTCCCCGTTTTTTGCTTCAAGGAGCATCCGCCTGCCAATCTAGAGCCGGATCATCCTGATAATTTATTCGAACTATCTGCTGCGACTATCGGTTTGTGCGATCGGGCTCTGCGTAGCATGATCAAATCTGGACAGATTCAAGCAGCAACTCGTCTTTTCCGCCGCTTACACTCACTCACCCGTGACAAACAACCGGAAACCCTTGCCGGCGAACTGGATGGAAACAACTCAACAAGCGACGTTGACACGACTCATCCAGACGCTGCTGGTCATGACCAGGTTCAAAGGAACACACCATTGTACCAGAATCAACTTTCTCCTTCACTATTAGCTTCATTTCTCGACTTGATCACCGAGTCCAAATGCTTCAACCTCGGCCGTCAACTCCTCCTCGGCGACGGCAAATCAGAACCGGTCATTCCCACAGCTCTGTACTCTCATGAAGCCCTTACACCTGCGCTTCTCCGATTCGCCGCCGCGACCGCAGACTCCTCCCTCCTCGCAGAAGTCGCAAAGTCACTCTCTCCTCCACTTCCCGATCATTTCCTTCGAGCACTCCTCCGCTGCCAGGTGTCACTCACAAACTGGCCTAACGCGGAAGAACTCATGGACTACTGCCAACATGTACACCGGGTCAAATGGATGGCCGGCGATGCTTCAATCCTAGCAGAGGCCGTGCTGCAACAGCAACGTCTGCTCACCATTGCCGCCACTCCAGCTCAACGCACTCAGCAGCAGATATCGCTACATCGCGCAAAGTCGCTGTTGCAGAAACTGCTCTCGGAAGAGTACGGTCCCTTCAAGGGCGCCGTCAATGGCCGCACCAGCAGAGACTACACTGGCATTATCGACGTCCTCAAAACCACGGGTCCTCCCTTGGAAAAGCTATGCCCGAATCTGCTTTCCCAGCACACCCAGATCAAGCCCTGGTCAAACGACAGCTACGCGACAGCTCTCCCGGAAGGATGGTCGCCCGTGGTGCCGAACCTGACCTCAGTGCGTGCGATAATGCGCGGAGCCCTCCAGGAACGGCGACAAGAATTGTTCGATGCCGAAAGCCCTCCAGATCGAGCGGCCAAAGTGGGCATTATGGGATTGCACCTCTACGACAATGACGCGGAACATCATGCGCTCTTTTCACCTAACCAGTCGCCCCCGTCTGTAGAGGCTGCTTCCATCTTAGACTGGGGTGTCGACATGTATAAGAATTTTGGTGTCTCAGAGGCAGATATTGATCGTGAATTGGACGGCTACATGACCGCTAGCAAGGCCTGGGCTGCTGCTTCTGCCTCTGCTACAACCGCGTAGTTTTGAAAGCCTGGATTATTAGATACCCATTGTAATGCGCGCTGTTTGCCTTGTTTGTTATTATTTTGTTTGCTCCCTGTCCTGTTCGGCTTCAAGAGCTGTGTATACATTTTTTGATATCATTTTATCTTATATTATATATATATATTTATTTATTTGGTATTATACTGTATATATATATTTGATTATTCATCTCATATATACAAAAGGTATTTTCCTCCAAAGTCTCATTGCATAGGAGAGAACATAATATAGAAGAGATATATAACACGTTAACTTTTTTTTTTCTCCAGCCGAATCAAGTAAACTCTGTCATTCAAACCCCTTTGAGACTGGATCCCGTTTTGCTGCCCTTTTCTTTTTTTTCTTTTTCCCTCTTTCTTTTTGGAAGTCACTTCCAATGCTCCAACCCGAATGTCTCATATAGAGAAAAAAAAAAAAAGGACGACTGACGGTATGTACTTTATCTCCGATGCCCATCCGAGACTTAACTCAGTACATTGGCGCAGGCGGCGCGGCCGTGCCCGTCTTGTGCACGCCGGGATGGCCCCCGCCTTCCAGCTCCGAATCGAGTCGCGGATCGGGGTTGTTTCCAATACTAGTCGACTGCTGCGGATCGTAAGCGGGAGCGGTAGCGGTAGCGGGGCCAGTGCCGTGGCCACGGGCTAACAGAAGAGAGGAAAGAGTCTTTCGTTAATAATAGGTTTCTCTTCGGAATTAAAAAAGGACATTCATTACCAATCGGACGTTGCAATGAACATTGCCACAGGATTTGTAAGGGGGGAGAGCGAGGGCCAGGCAGTGGGACAGACAGAGGGACGGACAATGGAACGGGGTTGCAGAGGGAGAGAAAAAGCAATATGTATGAACGGAGTCTGTGCCGGTTCCCGATGCCGGTGCCGATACCGGTACCGATACACGTACACGTAATGGATATAATGTCAAAAAAGCAAAAGGGCATTGATCAGGTTATACGATTAGAAACGTAAAGTGAACAGTGTTATGTAAAACTGGAATGCATGCTTTGTTTTCAAATTCAATGGAGTCAATGGATTCAATGTAATTCGATTTCAAGGCAGGAATAAAGCCAGCAGGATTCTAGCGCGAACTAAAGAAGAAAACAACAATCGTAGTCCCAGTGCCTATCAACGCCAAAAGCTCATCTAGCGAAGAGGAAGAGGAGGATGAGGAATATTGAATCATATACCGGACCCAACACCCGCAGCGTGGCCACTGGCAGTTGGCCCCTTATTTCCCGTCTTCAACTCGTTAAGTCCTGCGGTGGCAACCTGTTCGTTTTTGGAATCCCGCTGGTGAGTGCCGAATGCTTCGTCGACGGCTTGGTTGACGTTGCCGCGGATCGCTTCACCGGCGCCCTGCATCGACAAAATAAACGTATTAGTACTGCCATTTCAAAGCGGCCTGGGGTTTGGCTGCGAGAGTAGCTCAGTAGACAACGGGGGTATGTAACAATATAGTAACGTAGTACTTACGTGAAGACTGGTAGCGGCAGACTTGACTGCGCCCATGGTATCTTTGCCGGCTCTGGCACCAGAGGATGTGGCTGATGTGTTTGACGACATGGCTATTTTAGTTGTCTGAATTGGTTTTAAGATGGTATTGATAAATCAATGTTCTTTGCTTTGAAAAATTGAGAGGTTGGTGTAAAGCTTGGATGTAATGAGGGTGATGAGGAGATGTAGAAATGTAAAGATGTGTTTGAAAGACAAATTGGGAGTTTCTATGGAAGCAGTTAAGATCCGGATTTCCATGCCGGCTGTCAGGTTTTCTGGTACAAAGTACGTCATAATCTGGGGTAACGGGCTCGCTTGCTCGGGCCGAGAGGGACTAGTGGATTTTGCTTTCTGCTCACGTGATATGGCTTTTCTTCAGGTACGGTACCGGTTCTTGTGTTATATTTACATAAGCTTAGCTCGGTGTTCTCGATTGTTTGGTTGCAGTTATCTATCAGTTCTTGAAGTTATATTTGAATGAGTTGCTTTTCGAGAAACTCTTGGTATCTCTGTCAAACTGGAAAAAACCCAGATGACTTGAGACGATCACGTGATTGAAGTGGTGTTTCATAGAAGGTCCACGTTCTTGATGTGAACGTTATGGTAGTCATACTAGAGAACGTGCAACTTATATTGAAATTCTTTGAAATTTTCTATCTCTGAAAAGACGCGCATAGCTCAGGTTTAAAGCGGATATGTTGCTAGGGTGCTTGCGTTGTTGCAAGGTGTTGTTGCATCCCATCCGGTATGATCTTGCTTCAACGGCTATATATACGTCGGAAAATTAAATTAACAGGCAAGCAGTGCTATTTCTTTACTAAATCTTGACAGCAATACTGATGAGAATTCAAACGATGGCTCAGGCTTAAGTCTCCTCGTGGAAAAAAGCCGGCCGAATCGACACATTTTTTAAATAGCCATCTTCCTGACAGCGCTGTCACAAAATGATAATACAGCAAATATTCGTCCACCACAAGACGCATTATTTAAGATAAATAAAGATGACGACGACTACTCCAAGAGAATATCCAAACTCCGATAGTACGTATCAAACGACCTCAGCTCTCCTCACATTCATGAGCACGTCATACTGCTGACGAATCAAGCAATTACATATAGAAACTGGTTTTCACCGAACAAATTGAGAGAAAAGCAAAACCTGATCTGCATCACAATTGCAACTGAGTTAATATATGGTTGATCGTCGACATTAGAACCGGACACAAAGGTTATTGGTTGTCAGTAACCAATCCTGCGTTTATGATAAGACGGTCAAGCTCTATTCAAAGGCAAGACGAGACCCTGGCGGAAAGCATGTGGTAGTAGTTCTGTTGATCTTAACCTCAAAAGGCAATGCCCCCGCAACAGACCCCTCGTGCTTTTTTTGGGAAGAGATTTTTTATCGGAAACGCTCGACCCACGACTCGTGATTCAGACTGCCACTCTAGGCTAGTGGTCTTTGTAGATAGCAGCACGACGCAATTTTTTCACTTATCAATGATCTTCAACATGTACCATTAATCTGGGTCCGATCCAAAAGATTGTTGACGAAGATACTTGATAGAACCATTGACTTGGTGAACCATACATGTTCAAATTGTGGCTTCTAAGTTCATTTAATTGTGGATCAGCTAATAAGAGAATTGGAGCACTGGAGGATGAATCAAGTACTATGACCCCTTGAGCCGTCGGAGAAAATTCTGACTGCTGCATAAGGGACGTCATTGCATATCTTATCGACTTACAGATGATCGTCTCATCCTTGCGCATACCTTGGCCCCTCTCCCTCATGAACTGCAAGGAGTCAAGGGGAATTGGCTCTCCCCCACGATGATCGTGGCACTGAATCTGGTATGGATCTGACAAGAAGGCACGCAACTGCCCATTGAGAGGAACAACCAGAAGTCATCTTTGCTGTTGTCACCTCTTTTCATAATGGCCTCATCTCAACGAGGCTCTGCCCGGCCGGACGTGGCCGAGAAAGGGGCTTGAGCCAAAGTCCATGACCTCGGACGACTAGAGAGTTCGGCGTCTTTTGCAGACAATTTTTCGCCTTTCGCGGCTGCTAATTTAGCTTTTAGCCGACGATGGAAAATGACAGGGGGTTTCCCTGTGAAGCGCCTTACTCAAGGCGGCTAAATCGCGGCTTTCAGCGCTGGACTTCCCTTATGCCCCACCTTCCCAAACTTTCCTTCTGTCAAATGACGAGGGTCGCCAGTGGGTTGTACTCGTACAGCCGGTTTTGACGACGTAATACAACGGACGGATCTCGGTTCTTCAGAGGGCCAGACAAGAAGGCTTTTTCTTTGCGAAGCGGCGCGAGGCAAATTAATATGCCAGGATCGACAACGAACTGTGGACCACTTGGCAAGAGAAATTTCACGTAATGATGGCATCTTATGAGACGGCTTTGCCTCGGCATAAGTTTGAACTCCTTTCGAGTGGATCGTATGGTCCCTTGCCCTCGTTGAAGGCTGGGTGAAGATCGTTACCGCAATCACACGTGGCCCCATGTTCAAGTTCGATGACAAGGCTGTCAATATTGCATGTGTACGGCACTACAGTCGCTGGTGACAGGAACAAGCTGCATAGAGGCCCAGCGTCCATGGGCCTACGACGGGGTCGTCCTGCATCTAAGGCACACCGCCTTTGATCGGGATGCGTGGGATGAAGGGGGCCCTTTATTTTTGTTGTTTGGCATGCTGCTGCATGTTCTCTATAGCTGCATCCATCGGATGCAAGGAGACGGTCCGGGAGAAACGTTGATACGCTAACCGTACAACTGGCCGCAAAAGCGCTTGTCTCCTATTTCGAGCCGCCTGCCAGTGTGCCACAGTACCAGAGTTGTAGTCCTGTATGTGCCACTTGAGGACGATTGCTTACACGGTGCTATACCTGCGTAGACACCTAGGTTATTCTGTAGTGCTTCGGCATCATATTACCTGCCGACGGCATCAACTTGCCGTCATACTCTACAGAGATTTCTAATGAATAAAAGTTTGTAGAGTAGGCGGGTCCCTGGCGTGACGCTTGATTATTTCGCCGCAACGCAATATGCTAGATACTTTTCTTCACTACTAATAGTATGCCATGCAACTTGAGTCAATAATAATCATTGGCTTTTTGCTGGTTGAGAACCGCGCCGCCCCAAGTGGAGGCTGGAGTCGTAAGAGAAGTGAGGCGTCGGCGGGGGGGGAGGCAAAGAAAGGAGGATGTGGATGAAGGGGTGGGTCGGGGACTTTGGGGCCAAGCGAGGAGGGAAATCAGCGGTTGCATCTGCGGTGCTGTTAGAGGGGGAACGAGGAAGGAGAAGGAACACCCCCCCCCCCCCCCCCCCCCCCCCCGCGGACGAAACGCTCTCTCCTTCCTTTTCGTCGTTGGTACCGCGCTATACAGAGTATTGGAGCAGAAGAGCGAACAAGATGGGACAAATGGTACGTTACTAAGGTACTAGGAGAAAATATCCCAAGGGAAAACGAAAAGAAATACTCCGTCGAGCGAGTAAGAAAGTACCTTAACCAGGATAGGCGAGAGTCCCCCGGCCTCTCAGAGTCTTGGGCTCGCGTGAAAACTGGGGGGGGGAGGCACCATGATGAAGGTATTTCGGTGTCTCTCTCTCGTTCCGTCGCCCCCTCCCTTGTCGATAGCAGGCAGCACTATCGGGGATCTCACACACTAGACCCTGCAGCATATCATCGGCTCCCACGGGGGGACGTGTTTGGAGTCGGCTTGACCACCACCAAAGTGATCTGACCATGCATGTATCATATGCTTGGGGAAGGAGAACCATCGAGAGCGACAACGAACGGTACGAATGAAATATCAAAGAGGCTGACAGTCCTGTGATGAAATGCCTTGATTCTTGCTGACATTGAGGGGTGTACAACGAACTATAACCAACGAATGAGAGGAGAGCAATTAGACTGGATGACACGCAGTTCACAGCAGCTCTCTCAGTCTCTCCCCGCTCTCTACTGCCGCCCAGTCATACTTGGACTCATCTCCAATTACCTAGCATGGGATTGGACAAGTAATGCATCCGAATCAAGTAATTGTGCTATCCCTACGTGACCAGTTATGACTCGAATTGCCTCCTTCGCCTCAACTGGCGACGTGGAGAATGACTACTTGTCCCTCATTAATTTTGCCTCTTTACTCACTACTTTAGAATGACTCTATGGAGGTAATGAATCCGTTGGAATTACAAAGTAATGTCTGCCTATATTCTATGGTACAGATGAGAGAGAGACGTGTAGAGATGAGAGTAGTGGTGAGAGCAGCTCACGACCGGTTACTTACTACGTATGGACCTTTGATTTGGGCCGAGCAAATATGCAAATTTTGGCGGTGAAAAGTTTCACGAGCCAATCAGCGTCATGGGCGGCCCACCGGCGTCAACTGTGCCGTTCGATGCGCGAGTCCAAATGCGGCTAGACTCTGATGTTCGGCCTTTAGAGGCCAAAATTGTTTGAAGAAGAAAGGACGAAAGATGAAGAGGAAGGACGAGAATTGGCCTTTTCCTCCGTCACTTTTCTCCCCTCTTTCCCCCCCCGGAGTACTCATGCTCTTTCCCGCCGTAGCATTACCTTAATCATCGCCCATATCATCATCCCCATCTGATCCTTTTCCCTCCCTCTCTCTCTCTCCCTCCAATTCTCCCTCCTCGTTCTCAGCATTCAACGTTGAGCTGTTCTCGCTTGCCTTGCAATCTCTGTCTTCATCTCTTATCCAACTTTGAACCCAATAAACTCAAATTATTATCTTTGTCGAGTAATCATGATTGGGGCTGTCGCTGCGCTGTAAATCCTCACTGGGGGGCGTGCGTTACGCAGCGTGCCCTCTAGTCCGGCCAGCCAACGAGAATTGATAGCAAATCTTTACGACGACACAGACAGATTTTTTGACCAGCTCCATAGCAGAGCTGATTTGCAACGAATATCAATCCATCTGCTTACCATCGATCGATCGTCCCGAACGTCTCAACTTGAAGACTTTTGATTACGCTCTGATAACCCGACGAAGATATTTCGCCCGGTCTTTCCTCTTGGACTCGCAGACGAGAGACTGAGCTTCTCCAACACATAATTCTGACTTCATTGTGTCGGCTCGACGACGCATTGAGCTTTTCATCCCTCTTCTAAAATTTTCACTACCTTAATCTTCCATCTTCTCATACGACATATTCGACCTCTCTTTTTTCACAATGTCTCCCAGCAAAAACGGTTATTCAAACAAGTCCTCTCTTGGAGGTGCTGATCTTCGACGATCGAAATCATCCAAACACAACTTCAACAATGCCGTGCCCACGGACAATTCCACGGCGGTGGGACTCTCCCGACCCCGAAAACCTCTAAACTATAAAAAGTTTGGCCGACGAAAAGCAAGGAGTCCTAGCGACAGTGCGTCTGGGACCGAAACTCCTTCGCTCGGAAGCGACGACGATGGCGACGACGAGGACGAGGACGAGGACGAGTCGGACGACCAAGACGATGAGCCGGATGATTTTGCCCCGTTCGATGGTCGCAAGGCCGGGAAGAAGACAGCTGGGAAGAGCGCCGCTGGTTCCCATGGGACGGGGCATGATAATGCTCGGCCTACATTGGCAGGCAAGAAACGTACCTTTTCTAATCTAGGCTCAGAGCTCTCCGACCTCGACGACGAGGCCGTGTCGGACAATGAGACCCCTCTGGCTCACCGCCGCAAAGTCTCTCGCACAAAGAGCGATTCGAGCGAGTCGCTCAGCAGCGTGGTCGACTCGGAGAGTGCCATCAGCCATGATGGTGCCGAAGGCGGCGTGTCCACACATGGCGCCACCTCTGACGATGACTATGCCGGCGTCGATTTGATCAGCGACTCGGATGCCGAGGACCACGGTCACCTTGAAGAATTGGAAGAAGCCGCAATCATACAGTCGGAAGAGAACGACACCCCTACCGTGTCTGCCGCCCCCAGCATCTCTGGCGGTGATAGCGATTGGGGAGACTTTGACCTCGATGGCAATTTTCTCTTTCCTGACGTTCCATTCATTGCCGAATTCAGCAATGCTCCGGACACTGCTGCTGGCGGCGTCCAGCTCGTTGATCCCTCCAATCCTCTTGATATGTCATCGGTCGATGATATCGAGGCGCGACATGTTCGATTTCAATCCGACAATCACGACTCTGACAGCTCGAGCTCGTCTGATGAGGACAACTTTGACTTTCCCGACCTTTTCCTACAGCAAGACAGCCTCGAGCCTGGCTTCCGCCTGATGATTGAAAATGACCAGGACGCTGATGACGGCTACTCTACCGATTCCGACGGCGAAGGCTCGTATTGGGACTTTCGCGGTAGCGATGACTTGGAGGATGTTGGCCAGAATGAGAAGAATGAAGAGTCTGAAAGCTCTTCGGACAGCGAAGCAAGCTACGAATGTATGATTTGTGTTTTTATCTTTTCCATCTCCTTTTTTTTCCGTTTACTAATCTCGCCGCAACTGCAGCCGAAGAAGGCGACACGACTGATGACGACTTGCCGCCTCCGGCCCTTCTTGTGCGGCGTCGCTCCGTTCTTCGGCGGTCTCCCAGTCCATCTTCTGGAAGTGACTCGAGCAGCACTGTGTCGTTTCGCCGACCGATCAATCCTCCAGCTCGTCGCACGGGCCCGTCGATGGGCTCGTGGGTCGCTGATCCGAACAAGCCGATTGCGGTCATTGACAGCTCGGGAAAGCGAATGGTCATTTACCCAGCCCAAAATCCTCTTCAGCGGGATTCCAAACTGTTTGGATTCCTCGCTGGCGGCGATACCAGTGCCTCTAGCAGCCCTCGAACGTCATTCCAGAGTCTTGGGGATGAAAGCGAAAATGATCGAAGCGATTACTCGAGCCATGGCTTCAGCACCCCTATGATTGGTAATGGTGCTAACTTAATGATGCCCGGCTTGCTCCATGGTGCTCCCGGCAGCGAACATCTCCTCAGTGGTCAAGTCCTCGGTCCCCCTGAAGCGTTTTATCCATTCAAGGCTGTGGGTCCTGATGGCGATGTCATGGAAGATGACGACGATGAAGAGGAAGACGAGGACCTCTGGAACGTGCATGACTTTATCGACTTTGGCGATGGGTCCTCTGACAGTGAGGATGCGGGCCAGGAAACAGACGTTCCAGCATCGCCCGCCAACTCTACGGCGGCCAATCCCTCTACGACGCCTCACAAGGCCGAGACGATTCGAAGTGGAGACGTGACCGCTCGGAGCATGCTCGAGCATTTTGATCGAGGCGTCGTCACTGCTTTCCGAAGCAACCAGACTCGTCACAAAATCCTGCTTGGTCGGGCACAAAGTCGTGAATATTCTCCCATGGGACCTTTTCAACAGGGCGGGGGTGTGATCAAGGGCGGCAGACATGCCGCGGTTAATTCTCCCATTACACCCTTGCGCAAGCGCAGAACCGCTCGTGGTCCAAGCGTTGGGGATAACAGCCCCGCCTCGCGTGGTGCCCAGAACAGACAGAGGTATCGACAGGGCTCTCAGAGATCATCGCATGGAAGTTTTTAGATTCAAGAGAATCTGCAGCAAAGTGGTTCTTTGTTTTGAAAATAAAGCAGGCCCGTTTGTACACGGCAGCCTCACATCCCATTAGCATGGCCCAAGGCGCTTTGGGTACTCTTTGTACGACTGGAGTAACTTTTTGTCGGTCAAGGCGAACGCGATTTTCCCGGTTGAATGTTTTTATAACGACGAGGAAACAAGTTCAGCAGGCAGCAGCATCATCAACCCATCAATACCCTATCTACTCACATTAATTCTCCATGACCTCTTTTTGAGGCTTCGACATGAAGTTTGGCAGTATGCTGCTGTGCAGTATCCTGTCCAATCCTCTCTAGTCTCTTTCAATGGCTCTTGCGGTAGTTCGTGGCGTGCCACGACAACCTAGAAGCCAATACACCAAAAAAAAAAAAATTGGTTAACGAAGCTACGGCCGCTCGGGGCTTTACACACAACAGGCGTCTGATGTTCTTTTTTTACACTGTCGGAGTTTGTCCATGGCTCTCTGCCACTGTGTCTCGGTTTCTGTTCCGTCCTCGACAAGTTGTTCAGATTCAGTCATTTCAAGAAGGGAAAAAAAAGGTATTTTCGGGATCTGTAATTGCCTGGATAGATGGGGTAGATGGGATGGAGTAGGGGGAGGTCTAGAAGAGGCGGAGTCTTTTTTCTCTTTCTCTCTCTCACATACTTTCTCTTGCATGGGACTGGTGTCGGTGCGGGTGCGGTGCTCAAGGCGCGCATGCCAACTTATGTCTTAGTTTTAGGTTTTTCTTGTCCTGCTAGTTTTATTCTTACTTTGCTCTACACTCTATTTGTTATCATTCTATTTATTTCCATTCGATTTGCAAAACAAAATGTCTTTAGTTGCTTCTTTCCTGACCATTGACCATTTAACTGTTTACTTCTTCCATATTGTCATGGTCATTGACTGCTACTATCATATTACCATCTACAACTCGTCCAAGGAACAATTTACTATTCACTATTCATGATCAATCTTATGTTGTCTGTTGTCCGTTGTCCGTTGTCCTCATCATCACCTCAACCTTGTGCTGCTGTCTGCTTCTTTCCCATTTTTCTTTCTCTCTCCATTTGATTTTAATTTTTATCCGATGGTTACTTTGTTATGATCTCTTTATTAGTTTTAAAAGTGGAGTTTCATCGCTTTATTTCCCCTCTTTTTGGGGGATTTGTCGGGGATTAGGTTTGCTCTGGTCTTTGCATTTCTGGGTCTTGATTTATAAAAGTTTTTTTTTATCTTTATATTCATTTTTTTTAGGTTTGTCTGTATTTTTATATTTATATATGGTTTTCAGGTTTATATATATTGTGTGTCGTGTGTTTTTGTGTTTTTTGTTGTGTGTCGTGTGTCGTGTGTCGTGTATCATGTATCATGTATCAATATGGCTGTCTGTGACAGTATCAATGTGCATGAGTCATGTGTGACTATGGTAGATGACTGGTGATGTTTGGTAATGTATGGTATGTGTAATACTGGTAATGTCTAGTACTTATTGTAGTATTTTGATGTCTGTCTGGTGTACGTCGAATGTTAATTGTCGAATGTCATATGTGTTGAATGTCGAATGTCTATATGTCATGAACCTCGTGTTTTGTGTCTAGTATGTGTTTCTAGTCACTTGTCCTAGGACCTAGGTACGTCCTATGTTGCCTGCTCTATTGCTGATTGTATAGCTGTGTAGCTGAATTGTAGTCGCGTAGCAGTATAGCAGATCCAATTCTACGTGCGATACAGTGGTCTGTGGAGAGCTACCTAGACTCCTAGTATAGTCTACCTTTCATCAATACAATATAGGACGTTGAGATACAATGTAGGACATTGAGAAATACAGTATAAAGCGTTGAGAAATATAGTATAACGCGTTGGGAGATACAGTGGAAAGAATAATACAGTGGAAAGAGTCGAAAGACATTTGAAAAAATTGAAATAGACATATTCCGGTACACGGTACACTGGACCAAAAAAAAAATAAGTTATAAGCTACCTAAAATTATTTTCTAATTTGATGAGTCTAGAAGTTTAGAAGTTTAGAACCGATCTGGCGTTTTGTATTAAAAGAGGAAAAGAGGAAAAGAGGAGGGGGAAACAAAAGGCGATGTAGAAAACAATACATGTCTAATCCTACAATGACTCCACGGATGCATATCTACTCGTGAAAACGACAATGCTGATATGTCTACACTACTACAAAACAGGTGAGGCAAGTTAAAGGAGAGAAGAAGTAAAAAAGGAGAAGGGAAAGACGTGGAAAAAATCGTCGAAAAAGATGAGAGAAGCAACAGAGACTACAGAACCTCCCAATTCTCGACACGATTCTGGCGGGCAAAATCATATTTGTGACCGTGGCGATAATCGCTAATGAGCGGTTCTCTATCCACGCCACAATGGTCCTCGCCGTCGCGGCCGCGAAAGACGCCAAGGCCGTATGTCTGGCCTAGGGCCGTGAGATGCTGTGTCATGGTGCGCGAGTCCATGCGTTCCGTGTCGATGAATTGCCAGAGCATGGTGCTCTGGTGGATAAACGCCAGGATGCTAGCAATGGTGTTTGGCTGGCGGGGCAGAAAGGCGTGCCGCCGACGGAGGTAGACGAGGGTGGCGGCGAGGATGAGAAAGAGGAGGATGAGTTGGGCGAGGGAAAAAGAGATCCAGAATGACCGGACGGTTTGGTCGCCGCCCAATTGCTGTCTGGGGTCAGGAGCGGTAGTGTTCATATTGGGACTAGTACTCAGGGCCTGGGGGAGTCGAGCGAAGAGGCTGTGTGTAAGAGAATGGTCAGCGGCGGCGGGGGTGGTGGTGTTGTTGTTGTTGTTGTTGTGGGCAGGGAAAAAGTCGCTGCCCTTGACGGCAAAAGAGGATACACAGACGGTAAGCACTTCAGTGGCAATTGCGCCGATGCCGACGAGGGAGATGAGAAAGTGTTTGTTGATGAGGGAATGAAAGATGATGTACCCCGGCACAGTTCCCGTGTAGTCGAGCGTGAGGGTCTTTGGGGGCGCATTTCGTTTGGAGAGAATGTAAAAGGGCTCGATCATACGCACGTCGCATTCGAGCGTGCCCCAGCTGAGTTTGATAAGGACGGCCATGGCGGTGAAGAGAAAGGGGAGTTTCTCGGTCACAATGTTGGCGGAAGTAAAGGTGAAGACTGGGATGAGGATCATGACTATGATCATGAATGCGATAAAAGGTATGCCTGCTTTCAGCCGAAGCATGGGCGGGTGGGGATTATGGTGATTTGCGTTTGGAACAATCCCAGGCTCGTCAGTATCGTGTCCGACGTATTCGCCTTGCCAAAAGCAAGACTTGTACAAGATATATCGCTGGTAGCGCAGCTTCTGATGGATCACGTCCGGCTTTGCAGTGTCAAGGCCCGAAAAGTCCATGAGGATATGGCTCTTTTGGGCCATCGCAGCAATTCCAGCAATGCCCTTGGGATCGCTGAGCAGACCAGACCGGCGTCGGAGCTGTAGCATGAGAATGAGGCCTAGCACAGCCACGAGGACAAGAGATGTGGTCAAAAGCCTTGACCATATTGGATTGATGCGTACAAATTTCAGTTCATTGACCCGTCGGTTTTTGGAATCGGGGTAGAGCGTGACAGAAGCAGACTGTAGCGTTGGCACGAGTCCGCCTGCCAATAAGGTAGCAACAGAAGACGACACCACGGCCCATTGTCTGTAGCGCAAGGCTTTAACGGGCGCCAGATAGCTCCAGTATGTGAGATAATCAAGGTTGAGGGAATGGGCGGCAAGTGCCCCATCTGGTTTCGATAATTGATAATAAGGCTCGAGACGTTTCACCTCGTAGTCGACAATTTGCCAGAGCACACCGTATGTCACAAGGACTATCGTCGGCATATACTTCCAAGCGAAGTAGTTGGATATACTGATTGATTGAGCTGATCTGAACTCGATCAAGCCTCGATTTTTTCCTGCCAGCCAAGCAGACCTTTGATAAAGATATTCTTGGACTCCACCAAGCAATAAGGAAACGAGAATCAGCATGGTGATGTATGGCCGACGCATTGAGAAAGGTCGCCAATTCGGCATATTCGGGTCTGAAGCAGTGTCAGAAGTGCACGCGTGCTCGCACAACCATTGTAACTTACCAGGAGGAGGGAAGTAAGACCTTTTCCCTTCGTTGATCGGCATAGTGCTGCGACGGGTATCATTCTTGTCAGAAGATTCACCTCCGGCAAGAGAACTCAAGTCAATCGCAGGAACCGAATCTAAGTAAAGAGTCAGTATGTCCTCTGATTGTGACTTGGGGAGAGAAAAAAACTAATCGGCAACGGGTTACCTTCGACAACAATCATCTCCCCGCGTTGTTTTGCTTCTCTTTGCCCAGCTTCCCTGATTGTTCTGTATCGGGAGAGTTTGCCATCAATGGTTATAGGCCTTTGCGGTTCAATTGATTCCTTAGCACCGGCCGGCGAATCCTGGGCCAGCTGGAGAGTGACCAAATGCTCCATGCCCTTCCCCAGCCCCCCGGTCAGCTTCCCTTGCGATTCGAGCCGGTTGAACTCGGAAATGGTCCCATTATCTTGGGATTCCTCTTCTGCAGATGATTCCGCATTTATCGTCTTAAGCGCAATTGACGGCCCAGTAAATGAAGTAACGTCAAAGTTTACGGGCTCGTCGTCTTCGCGAGAGTTATCAATTTCTCTCGTAGACTGCTGGACACCCTTTTGTTTTGACTGATTATCCTCGTCATCATCCAATGCCTTGTACTGATTGGTCGAGTTCTTGTAAGCCGGACTGAGAGGGTTGATGGGGGACCGGATTGAACGACGAATGGTTCCCACCAATTTTCGATTCGTTGCTTTGAGAACAGTGGCTGATCGAGAAAGAATGTCCGGCTTTTGAGAAATTGGACTTTGACCTCCCATGTCCTGGACCAGCGGACTATAAGCCGTATCTGAAGGGAATGTTGGAAGAGCCGGTGGTGAAGGCATAGCATATGCCGGCTCTGACCCTGGTGGTAGAGATGGTGGATAGGAAGATCGCCCCCATTTTCGCGCATCAGGTGTCAAGGACGGACCCGCAATCTCTGTATCATTATGCGAAAAGGCTGAACTGGATAGGGACGAAGTGGAAGGTCCAGCGGCGCCGTTCCCCTCGACTGAACCTCCGCCGCTCTGGCGCGAGGAAGAGTCAATAAAAAGCCCAAGCCCGTTCATGGCTAGAATGAGCTTTTCATCAACTCAGTCGTATAATAACCGGGGAGTATATTTGATATTCCATGTAGGCTCATAAGATATAAAAGATCTTCGTCGGTTCTAGCTCAACTGGGACGTTCTGACTGACTTCCAATGGCCCTACCGGGCTGCCTAATGTGACGCGGCGTCTCTAGGTCAAAAGCTGAGTCCAAAAAAAAATTCTATATGACGTTTCTAATATAAAAGGGACAAATCAGAGCAATCATCAAGTATAACCTGGATAACGTCATTAGGCAATATCGGTGATGCTGGGAAACACAGCCTACCAGTTTCGCATTCGCCGCGTCGGCCCGCACGGGGCGCTCCGCTGCGGAGATTCAACGAGCGAAACGGGGCCCAAATCCCCAATTTGATGAGATAGGTTGATTTCTCGAACCCGCGAGATCACAGTGCTTTTGCTCGTTTCTCTATGGTCATCTCTATCTCTGTCTCCTAGAGTGATGGAATAGAATTGAGGAATTGGAATCACAGAGACCCGCAATGCGACGAGCGCGTGCCTCTTAACGATCCGCTGCGGCTGAATCGCCATCGCTCGCCCGTGCGTCCCCACGCGACACGGACCAGAGCAGGGGTGGCGCCTTGAGAGCGGGATGCATAACATTTGCACAGATTTGTATTATCAGATGTTCATAAATATTTGGTATAATTTCATCCACTACTGCATTCTTTGCCAGGGATTGTGGAAACTCCCATATTTGGTCGTGCTAAGAATAAAGAGAGGCTTGACAAGGAGCTCTTTGGAAGGAGCAGCTCCAGTGGCTTGTCATCGTCAGTAAGCTCCATTGGCGAAGGGGAAGTCGCCATTTGCAGTCTCCCTCCTCCAGCGAGGAGGCTTGATTGGAGCCAATCACCACCACATGATAAGCGACCCGGCAGCTCCTGGACTGCTAATTATATCGTCAGCGAAACTTTCAAGGAGGAGAAGCAATTAGAGGGATCCAACCAATAATTGACCAACATTCTTGAGCTGATCGAGGCTTTTTTGAAAAGTATGCTTTCACCAGGGTACTTATAAAAATAACTACTGAGGAGAATAGACTTCTCACCCTGATCATCGAGTTTATCAAGGTCCCTGGATCCAGCGCAGCTATAAGCTCAGTTGCTCCTTGCTGTCAGATCATGCAAGCATCCTGGGTTCCGGCTTGTCGGATGCTCCAAAAATAGATTTGCCCTTTTTATTCTTTCAAAAATCCGTCATCATCATAATGATGTTGGATTCTGAGGTATTCGGAACTTTCGTCATCAAAGAACCTAATGGAAGTTAAAAAAACGATCGATATACCCTGGGATCATCGATTATATGGGACGCGTGATACACTCGTACGTCAAGGTTGGTGCCGTCACATGACTGCGAAGGGGTCCATCAGGCAGACAAGATGTCCAACTGATCGTCTTCTTTCTCCTTCCGCCATTTCTCTTACTCCATTCCTCCTCCTCCGACGTTAGCAACCCCAGTGTGCCGCAGATTTCAGGGCGAAGCCTTTCAGGGAGGCTCAGTGGAAGAGCATATGGCTCATTTCCAGTCTGCTGAATGAGACCCTCTGAGGGGGATTCCTCAGGGTCTGTTGTAAACAATAACACTTCTAATCTTTCCACGTATTGGTTTTTTCTAAACTTCCCGATTCCTGGCCGTTCCGATCCCTCTACCGGCTTCAAGGCTCAGAACATACCTGCCCAGGTGCAGTATCAAACATGATACAACATCCTCGAGGCTTCAAAAATCGTGCCGGCAAGGAGAGCCTTGTCAAACACTTGACAAAAAAGCGCGACTCGACGCTGCCAAACCTCGACATGGCTTCGCCTGTAGAAGGGTGAGCACATCTTCATTCTCATATAGCCGGCTATAACATACCCGATATTCCGCGAGGGCCTTTCGAAGAAATCTCCAAGGAAATCGATGCTAACAGCCGAAACGTAGCTCTCTCACGTCCCCAATCGTAACCCTCGTAGTCGGACGTGAGCAGCGTCTATTTGCAGCTCATCAGGACGTTCTCTCTGCCTCTCCCTACCTCCGAAACGCTTGTCGGACGGCTAGTTTCGATTCCGCCAACACCCGAAGGGTCGTGCTGTCTGATGAAGAGCCAGAAGCTTTCTCCTGTATTCTTGAATATCTCTATAAGGGAGACTATTCACCGCGTCTGCTTCACGACAAGAAGCACGATGCTTGGTATTTGGAACGAATCGAGGATGGCCATCCGTATCAAAACCCAAATGAGGTAGAAGCTCGGGGCCAGCGTCCGACAATCAGTGTTGCTGGACTTGACGGATTGATTCTTAGAGAAACCGTCGTCTATTCGTACGCGGAGAAATACGGCCTAGAGGAACTCAAGCGTTTAGCACTCCGTAAACAAGGCCTCCAGAGTGGCATTGAAGTAGCAACAGTGTTGCGGTCCGCTCGCTTTGCGTACGACAATACTCCAGACTCTGAATCTCGCCTGCGAGCCCACTATCTGGCTCTCATTATCCAATGCCGTGAGACGTTCAAGCGAAGCGGCACAATGCAGATGGAGATGGAAATTGGCGGGAAGCTCTTCTTCGACTTATTTGTTGCTATGTGCAACCATCTGGATGACCTTATGGATGCCACGCAAGTCGTCCCTGCTTTTCTATCACTTGTTAACCTTTGGAGCCACATATTTACTCCAGCTCCTCTCTCCATGACTAATGTTGAGGACGTGGCTTACTTATATCTTTGTTTCCTTTAGTGACGGGCAACCATGACCTCGTGAACAGCAAATCTGATAAAGAACGTCATCAATATATTCACGAACAACGAAACCAAAGATATCAATGGCAGTAATCGACGACGAAATTGTTCATCCTTGTATTGCGTAAATTTGTTTTTAGACCAGAATGCTGACTCGCGTCAGAAGATACCCACATCGGATATTAGTTTTTATGCCGCTTCATTACCTTCAAGGATTACTCTATACACAGCATACCAGTTTCCATATCAGTTTTTCTGGGACTTAATCGGACGGAAACTCCCTTCTTTCGATCAGACTGACGTATCTTATTATTTCTATATATGCGGAGCATTATGAGCTCAAAGAATTTAGCTTAATGATAATCGTATATTCTCAATGGTTTAATACAAATATGATTATAACGGCCATATTGGTGTACGCTCGTGTCGGAACTTCTAAGATCTGTGAGCCACAAGACAATACCTACATCTTATTCTAGTCTTCTGGATATGGTAAAAGAAAAGCAGAAGCACATATAATAATGATTGCAAAGTCATCAAGAGTAGCAGAGCAAAGTAAAACATTACGCCCAGCGGAGCAGAATATTTAGAAGCGTAAGAGCAAAGCAATAAAAGTAGGATTGATGTTGATGCCAAGCGAATTATGATATGCATGTAAACTTTCAACCTCGGAAAAAAAAAAGCATTAGATTAATGAGCAAAGACAAAACTCCCAAGACGCCAACTAGAATTTTATGTATGCAAGGTTTTGAGAGTCGATAATAAAGATTAGGTCTCGAAATGGAACCCGTCTTCATGATCATGAGCGAGCAAAGAGTGGCTAGCAACAAAGCTGAATCCACCAAATGGATCAGCGTCGAGCTTAGGTCTGTTTGCATTTGCTGCCGCTGCCATGTCCATGCCGCACTGTACAACAGGGCTCAGCGCCAGGTCAGTAAAATCTTTGGAAAAATTTTCCGCGAGAGCAGGGTCGGTGATGAGGGGCTTAATCGGCGGCTCGAGCTCCCGACGTTCCAGCTTCTTCCAATCAATTTTCCTAAAGAATCGATGCTTCCTGATTATCTGCAGGTCTTTGGGCATATTTGCACCCAGGCGACGGTTGGGCTCTTTCCGAAGCAATCTAGTTAACAAGTCTTTTGCATCGGGGCTGAGAAAATAGGGAAGTGAGAGCTTTTGCTTTAGGATGCGCTCCTGAATCTTGGCATGGTTGTTTCCTTGGAAGGGAGGGGAACCGGTCAAGAGATCGAAACCAAGAGCTCCAAGTGACCACCAGTCGACTGCGTGATTGTAATTGTTGCCTTGGACAACCTCAGGTGCCATGTATTCTATGGTACCGAGGACTGACTTGCAGTGGTCCCCATCGACTGCAACTTTGCTAAGGCCAAAGTCGGTTAGGAGCAGGTGGCCTTCAGAGTCGAGCAGGCAGTTTTCCGGCTTGAGGTCTCGATAGACGACGCCAACATTCTGATGTAGATGCTCGAGCGCAAGAACCATCTCGGCCATGTAAAAGGCTGCGACATCCTCCGAAAACATGCGCTCCATGGCAAGGTGAGTAAAGAGTTCTCCACCTTGGGCATACTCAAGGATCAAGTACAACTTCTCATGGTCCTGAAACGCGTAGTATAGTTTAACCACAAAAGGGTGCCGGTTGACGCTCTCGAGGATGACTCGCTCAGTCTTGGTCTGCTCTACCAGTCGTTTATGGACAGTCAGTGAAGCTTTACGGAATTGCTTCTGCGCGTATAGCCTGCCGGTGGCTTTCTGCTTCACAAGGAGTACAGTTCCAAAGGTGCCTTTGCCAAGGCAGTTGAGCGGCTCAAAGTCTGACGCCGCCATTTTGCGCACCAGAGGATGCTCCGCCAGAGGGGCTTCTGGTCGTCCGTCGACCGGCTTCTGAACTGCATCCGGGCTAACAAAGTCGTGTTCCAACGGCACTGTATAAGTTGTCATTTCTCCAGCATCGACATCACTGCGCGCTTCAGATGACACGCTATCCCCACTATCTCCCGCCTCAGGCTCCATTTGATCCTTGGACGGGCCACCCTTTTCTGAAGTGGCATCGAGGCTCAAATTGTCGACCTTCAGCTTCAATGCGCTGATCCCTCCGTGTGAGCAAGATGAAAGTGGCCGCGATGTTGGACTACTAAAGGGGCTTGCCCAGTCTTTCATCTTGAGAGGGTGGCTGGAGTAGTTCGTTGCTGTGGAATGATCCGAATCCTCGTCTCCCGAGGGCGCAGGAGTGAATCCTCGAATGGTTTGAAGCGCGGGCGCGGCTTTTTTCATCTCCTTCTTCTTCTTTCTTTTGGCAGCTTTGTCTCCGGGAACGGGAGGAATTCCAGCATTCTGGCGTCCGCGGCCGTCAAGATGACTACGAAGCTTCGCCCCATTTTGAGCAGTATCGGTGCTAGGTCGGCCAGCTTCTGAAGTATTCTCCCTAGGCTTTACGGTGCTAGGTTTGGAGTGAAGTGCAGTCTCTTGGTCAGCTCGGCGCTGAGGGTTATCTTGCGTTATGGGTCGCACGTCTACCGGGCTTTCACCCGCAAAACCTGGGGTGATCCAAGTGTCATCCTGGGATGGCCGTCTGTCCCTAACCTCAAAGTCGTCGGATGCGACTCTATCGGTGTGGTTATGAGATCGATCCGCCGGGAGGCCATCGTTAGCCTCTTGTCCCTTGGTCGCAAAGTGCTTGTCGGTCGCGTCGAATGCAAACATCTCTTCCGGTCTTCCGCCTTGGGATGCAACGTTTTGTCCCAATAGAACAGCTCGCGCCTCTTATCAAGTTGAATAACCCACTCAGCTATACCTTTCCTCAGCGGATGGCGGGCGCCGTCATAGAAAAGACGGATCAAGGGAACATCCAAAGAGTATGTCGTGTACTTTTTTTTAAAAGTTTACCGTCCGCCCAGCTCAGGACGGACTTAATGCCAGTAGCCAGCTCACTGAGGCGAATGAGGTATTCGGCGATAGAGCGGATTCCTTGAGGTCACAATCCACCTCTGTCCCAGAGAGACGATGTGGAAGTGTCGTAACAGATGAAATTGAGTTGAACGAGATCGACGACCGGCCCATAGATGGTAATGTAACTCTCCTTTTTAGTCGACGGTGAGTCGCCTGAAGAAATGACGACGGAAGAGAAACTCTGTATACTTGTCCAAGGCGCGAAACCTGGAAGATCTGGGGTAAAGTGAAGAATAGGCAGATCGTGTCAAAAAGTGGGATTTCTTGAAGCTGAACTAAATTCAGGCCGACGGGCACTAGCCGAAAACGGATAATCAACCTTGGCCAACCTGCATTGGGATATGGTCAGCCGGAGGGAACCAAGGAATTAAATGGCAGTAACAGAGGAGACTACTGCGATCGAACATGAAATTTCCTGGTCATTTTCAGCTTCATCACTCCTTAAATATTGAAAATGGGTCAACATGTAAATTTACTTTCTTGGGCATCCAAAGCAACTCCGTTATTTGAGGATCGATGGAGACGTCACTCGGAAATTGGGCTGGCACGGTTACTTACGGCCAAGCTAAAGGTAAGATATATATATGAGTTCTGATTGGCAATTTCAACTTGACCACCCACGTGCTTCTTCACGTACGAATAACATACAAGTATGGATCGAGGAATGTTGCTTGAGTCTTCAACTTCTCTAGTATAGCTCGAACATTGCCTTGCAGAATCCCAGGTCACCATCACAAGCACTGGGCATGTGCAACCTTTTCAGAAGCGAGCCGGCGTTGCAGGTATAACACAAGAAGTCCCACTAGAAAAGAGAACACGTCCATTCAGATGGCCTGGAGCGATACCTCTCAGAATGGGTCTAATGACCGGGAATGACAGTAGCTCCGAACTCTTCCTTGTCTGCTCCAACAGTGATCGGCTTAGCCGGCAACAAAACAAAGAGCATTCTGGTGTTTTTGTCTGATCGATTATGCCAAGCGTGAATTGTACCCCTCTGTACAACGACGTCCCCCTCTTTGACCAGCTTCTCGGCTCCATCATCGAGCTCGAGGACAATTTCCCCCTTTATCACGATGCCAAAATCGAGCGAGACAGTCCGATGCATCACGCTCGGCCCAGGAGGAAAATCGACGTAACGTGCGGTAGCCCCAGTGGAAGTGCTGAGCGGGATGCGTTTGTCATTGAGCTCTTCCCAGGCTGCTTGGTTATCAGCGGGGATAGTATCGCTTCGCCAGATTGTGGCAAATTCGAGCTGTCCTTTGCCCTTGGGCGTGTTGTCGTCAAGGAAATTGTAAGGTGTCAGAAGCTTATCGGATTCGAAGATGGCCCGGCCGTCCTTGTCATGGCCCGTCACGATTCGACGAGGATCTGGTAGAGAGGACATTTTGAATATTTGATGAGACGCTGAAAAAGTTGAAATACTAGATGACCAGTACTGGGAAATGTATATATGTTGTCGGTTCTGAGCAGTAACCGTTCCACGCAGGAGAAGAAAGCTGTTTCTCACCAGAAATTCTTATGGGCAGACGAGCTCAAAAGTACAGGCTGTCCCACCTCTTCGCTGGCATATTCCTTACATATCATGCAGGAATCCCGATGAGGTTACATCATTTTTGCTGCGGTCCGGAGGACCGAAGTAAAATACTGCCCCAGTGATCATTACTCCAACATAGGAGGCAGAGTATTGTAACTTTCTGACAACTTAAGGAGTATTGGATCTGTTCCCGGGGCTCTAAAATTTGTTTTCATTTATAAACGCCCGAAATTTGTACTTGTGGCTGGATTAGAAAAATGTGTAGATCCGCTGCGCGCGAAACATTTCTCCGTATAGAATTGAGAGAGGCGTCATGAACATCCACGACTCAGTCACTATTTAAAAGAAGAACTAGAGGAGGCCACTCGAAATCGGCGTACCAGCACATTCAGCAAACTCAATCACATTTAGAAGATTCTCAGTCAAGAAAACCCGTCAATAATCTATTTAACACGTAGGTAGGTAGGTATGCAAAGGATTTCATGATCATAATATACATTACACCATAATACAAAATCTAATGGTATCGTAGCTAAAATCTAAAAAAAAAAAAAAAAAAAAGATCCGGCAACAGTCGGCGCAGTTGATTCTAGGCGAGATAGTTAGCAAGAGAATTCGATGAGCGACGGTGATATTCGTTTCAAGGGCTTGCTC